CATTCGAGGTATGGCTGAGGGGGAGGACAGCCCGCGGCACCTCAAGGGACTTATTCCGTCCCACCCATTCTCTCCTCCACCTCCTCCACCCACTCCTTCCCTCTCCTCCCCACCGCCCACCACCCACCACCACACTTTGGCAGCATAGGTTAGAATCTCTGGACATAGCAGATGTGGATAAGCTAAGGCTGGTGATGCTGTATGCCCTGCGGTATCAGGAGGACAGGCCAAAGCACCTCCCTTCTTCCATTCCTCCTCTCTTACATTCTTGCAGGCAGTAGCGGCCAAGCTAGCATCTCAGGACATAGCAGACGTGGATAAGCTTCGGCTGGTGATGCTGTATGCCCTGCGGTACGAGGAGGACAGCCTGAGGCACCTCCCTTCTTCCACCCCTCCTGTCTTGCATTCCTTCAGGCAGTAGCGGCTAAATTAACATCGCAAGACATAGCAGACGTGGATAAGCTGCGGCTGGTGATGCTGTATGCCCTGCGGCTTGAGGAGGACAGGCAGATGTCAACCCTCTTCTCCCCCACCCACCACCCACCACCAGGCAGTAGCGGCCAAGCTAGCTTCTCAGGACGTAGCAGACGAGGATAAGCTAAGGCTGGTTATGCTGTATGCCCTGCGGTATGAGGAGGACAGCCCGCGGCACCTGCAGGCTCTGATCAACAAGTTCAGTGATGTTTGCCGCAACCCCAAGCACAAGGCCGGGGTGAGTAAAGTGGGGGGGCGAGGAAGGGTAAGCAGGGGTAAGGAGGGGTGAGGAAGGGTGCGCAGGTGGAGGGGTGAGGAGTGTTGAATGGGAGTGTTAGGAGGACAGCCCGAGACACCTGCAGACTCTGATCAACAAGTTCAGTGACGTTTCCCGCAACCCCAAGTACAAGGCCGGGGTGAGTGGGAGGAACTATCCGGAGGGGTGAAGAGGGGTGAGGAGGGATGAGAAGGAGTGTTAGGAGCAGTACAGTTGGCGGCACCTGCAGGCTCTGATCAACAAGTTCAGTGATGTGTGCCGCAACCCCAAGTACACTTTTGAGTCGACTCAAAAGCTGTGTGCCGCAACCCCAAGTACACTTTTGAGTCGACTCAAAAGCTGTGTGCCGCAACCCCAAGTACACTTTTGAGTCGACTCAAAAGCTGTGTGCCGCAACCCCAAGTACACTTTTGAGTCCACTCAAAAGCTGTGTGCCGCAACCCCAAGTACAAGGCCGGGGTGAGTGGGGTGATGACATGGGGTGAGGAGTGTGTGGTAGGGTGAGGGGGGGTGAGTGGATGGTAAGGAGGAGGACAGCCCGCGGCACCCACGCTTGTGGCAAGCCCTCCCTGTGCCTCGTACCCCCCCATCTCTTCACGTGCATGGCAGCTGGTATACACGCTGCTGCGCCAGTTCGGATCAAAGAGGAGAGTGGCGGATCTGTACGGCAGCAGTAATCTGCTCTACACAACTCGCCTTTCCTCTCCTGCAATAAACCCACCCATTGCCGTGCACCCTCCCTCTGCCTCGTACCATCCCATTGCTCCGCATGCATGGCAGCTGGTATACACGCTGTTGCGCCAGTTCGGATCAGAGAGGCGAGTGGCAGATCTGTGCGGCAGCAGGGGTGCAGCACAACACAACCCCTCTGCTCGTCTTCAACCCACGCATTGCTGCAATCCCTCCCTCTGCTTCTCACCCATTCACGCATGCCAGCTGGTATACACGCTGCTGCACCAGTTCGGATTCAAGAGGAAAGTGGCCAATCTGTACGGCAGCAGGGGTTTCAACACCCCCTCGCCTCTCCTACACTGAACCCACCCATTGCCTTGCACCCTCCCTCTGCCTCGTTCTCCCCCATTGCTCCACATGCATGGCAGCTGGTATACACGCTGCTGCGCCAGTTTGGATCAAAGAGGAGAGTCGCCGATCTGTACGGCAGCAGGGACCTGCTGAATATGGTGGCGAGAAACGTGAAACGAGGTCTCACGGTAAGTTGTGAGGGAGCGGTTTATAGAGAGGATATAGTTGTGGTTGGTATGGGGGAGTGTGGATAGGAGGAGAGTCGCTGATCTGTATGGGAGCAGGGATCTGCTCAATATGGTGGCGAGAAATGTGAAGCGAGGGCTCACGGTAAGGGTGTGGGGGGCAGGCTATAGAGGGGATATATCACTAGGTGCTTGGGGAAAGAGTGCAGATAATCGATGGTGGCTGTCTTGGATGCCTTTTTGAGGCGCCTCAAGAATATCACTAGGTGCTTGGGGAGAGAGTGCAGATAATCGATGGTGGCTGTCTTGGATGCCTTTTGTTCCTCACTCTTCCCACACTCTCTCTCTCCTCCCCTCTCCCCCCTTTCCAGGGCATGGAAAATGTGTTCACGCAGCATATGTTGTTTTTTTAGCGTATGTTTTTTAGAATTCTCAAACAACATACATGGAAAATGTGTTTATGCAGCAGCAGCCGCTGATAGCCGCTGAGAGTGCAGATCATTAATGCTGCTCTTGCCTTTCTTCACTTCCAGCTCCCTCCCCTCTCCACTCTTACACTCCCTCCGCCTCTCCCCCCTTTCCAGGGCATGGAAAATGTGTTCACGCAGCACCAGCTGCTGATAGCCGCTGATACTGCCACCAAGGGACGACTGAGCGAGGCGGATTACCCCTTCCCCCTGCCTTTCCCGTCCCACTGTTCCCACTCTCCCTCTCCATCCCTCTCTCCCCGCCCCCACCCCAGGACGTGGAGAATGTGTACACACAGCACCAGCCGCTTATAGCCCAGATCATCAATGCTGCCTTTTATGCCCTTTGAGCCCCATTCTTTTCTTCCTGCACTCTCCCTCCCCTCCCCTCTCCCCCCCTTCCAGGGCGTGGAGAATGTATACACGCAGCACCAGCCGCTCATAGCGCAGATCATCGATGTCCTGTCCCTTGTTGCCTTCCTTTCTCCCTCGCTCTTCCTCCACTCCCCCATTCCAGGGTGTGGAGAATGTATACACGCAACACCAGCCGCTCATAGCGCAGATCATTGATGCGGCCACTAAGGGCCGGCTCAGTGAGGTGCATTTTCCCTCTGCCTCTCGCTTCCCGCTGTTCCCACCCCTCTCCCCCCCTTCCAGGGCGTGGAGAATGTATACACGCAGCACCAGCCGCTCATAGCGCAGATCATCGATGCTGCCACTAAGGGCCGGCTCAGTGAGGCGGACTACCCGTTCATATCAGGGAACTTCCAACAGTCCAGGTGGGTGGAATGGGGTGGAATGGGGTGGAGTGCGGTGAAGGGATTGCTGTGGCCACTAAGGGGTGGCTGAGCGCGGCGGATTACTCCTTCTCTCAGGAAATTTCCAGCAGTCCAGGTGGGGGGATTGGGGTACAATGGGGTGAAAGGTGGTGGAATGGGTGGAAACTCACAGATCATTGATGCTGCCACTAAGGGGTGGCTGAGCGAGGCGGATTACTCCTCCTCTCAGGAGATTTCCAGCAGTCCAGGTGGGGGGGGGAGATGGAGGAGGATAAGGGTCCGTGAATGTGGCTATGTTTGTTCTTGCACATATTCGTGCAATATGGGACCTATTTGCACATTCTTCCACTTGTTTTGGCATTATTGGACCATCATCGTCGTCGCACCTTGCAGGAACTAAGATTCCCGTCCTGTAATTGCCGGTCGTCTAGAGCACTTGCCTCAAACCCCCCTGCCTCTGATTCCTGTTAATGCAGGTCCCAAGATTTGATTGTGTTTGTGGTGGGCGGCACAACCTATGAGGAGGCGCGAGCAGTGGCACTGTTCAATGCGGCCAATCCCAACACGCGGGTCGTTTTGGGCGGCACTGCCCTTCTAAATTCAACTAGGTGAGCCCGTCTTTACTGTAACGTGCTTCCTGGGTGGCGAATCCCAACACGCGGGAAGTTTTGGGTGGCCGCAAGCTTTCCAACTCCACCAGGTGAACTAATACGTGACTGATTATGTGGCATGTTTTGCTTGCCGGGCGGCCAAGTCTGTTTTTAGTTGACTCGAAACAAACTTAGGTACCATATCAAATGATGTTTCCCCGGGCAGCCAATCCCACCTTCTGCTCTTACTGGGCAGCACTGGGCTCCCCAACTTCGCCAGATGAGCTGCCCAATACTGTAGCACATGTAGTTTCACGGGCAGCCCGAGCATGTTATGGGCAGACTCAAAAAAAAAAAAAAGATTTGGCACGTGGTGTTTCACGGGCAGCCAATATCAGCATCGACTCTGCCCATTCTTTGTGTGTATTTGTCTTCCCAGGGCAACCTGACCTGTGCTTCAGAGGTTCTTATAAGGAGATTTTAGAGCTGAATGAATCTTGGAGTCGGTTCACAACTCTTTGTGTGAAATTTTGTTCCCTGTCTCATGTGATCCACAGGTTTATAGAGGAGATTGCAGAGCTGAATCATCTGGAGGCAACTACAGGGTTGGATTGATGAGCAGCACAGAACCTTAGTGACTCTAGTGACTTTCGAGTCCACTCACAAGTCACCATGAGCAGAACAGGACCCGACCAGAGTGTCATTACTCTCCAATTGTATGCTTTGTATGGCCATGTAATTAGTGTGTACCTTATGCATGGATGCTCACATCAAGACAGCCTTTCTGTCCTCTATCCCCAAAGTGTCAACAGTCCAGTGTACTTCGATATTGTCACTTCAACTGCACAAATCTAAGCCGTATTCTCAAGTAAAAGGCATACCAGGTTTTGGGCAAAAAACGAGTGTAAGGACACACTGGGTGTGTGCAACAGACATCGAGACCACATCTCATCCGAAGTACGTAACAAACACGTGCAGTTTTCGAAGGCAATGTACGGTATATCTTTGAGAAGTGGGTGGCATTCTATCACAAGATTGGAATCATCCTTCCCGGTCCCTGAATCCGTCTGGTGAGTTCCTTCAGCTTCCCAAGGGGTGTATCTTGGGCAGAACAGTCTTTATCAAATATTGCATTCATCATTAAACAAATAAATATCACAAAATGCCTTTATTTCTCAAGAAGCACACGTGTCCAAGCTAGCGAATCAGACAAAGACAGTGCGCTCCCAAGGCAAAGAGCCAAAGCCCAAGGTAGGCTCGAGCAGGCATTTTCTGGGACCAAGGAAAACAATAACACAGATTATGAAGCAGCAGGAGACACGAAGAAAACGATCGATGCGCGTCGGGAGTGTCGGGCGGGAGCATTGGGAGAATTGGGTGGGAGGGTGCGTAGTGTGGGGAGTATCGGTGAGCATGAGGGGTCGGAACGGCGAGGTTTTGGCGGTGGATTCATGCAGACCAAGCGATCTAGTCGCCTCTGCCGAAGGCGTTACCCTTACCGAACCTGGCCTCGTTGTCGGCGAGCTCTTTCTCCGCCTTCTCCGCAGCCGCCTTGAACCCGTCAGCGCGCGACTTGAGCGCGGTGAACTTGGTCTCGGATTGAGCCCGAGCGGTAGACGCCTTCACCAACGGAATTCGCGCGTCTTTCGCGACCTTGGTCTTCGCGACCACCACGTTGGCTTGCTGCCTAATCGCCGCGTCGATGTTCTTAGCTTCGACAGTAGCCGAGTTGTAAGCCGTCTCGGCGTCGGCGGCGTCCTTCTTAGCCTTGTTCAACACAACCTTGTGATCGTCAGCCTTCTTCCTGGTCTCGGTTTTGTCCTTACTGGTCGCAGACCACTCAAACTGCATCCTACCGACGCGCTCAACGGCTCGCTGCGCCTGCTTCACAAGCGCGCCCTGGATCCGAACCGCCTGAGTGCGAATCGACTGCGCCTCGAGCGCATCCGCTTGCGCCTGGGGTGTCTTGAGCTTCGTCGCGAGCCGCGCGTAGTACGTAGAGTCGTCAGTCGCCTCCTTCACGATCGCGTTCTGCTCCGTCAGCAGATCCGCCGTGAGATTCGCGCGCGCCTGGGCGTCGACGATATCCTTTGCGAATTCCTTCTCGTCGTTATCCGCTTCGCCGACATCCATTTCGAGGTCGTCGTTATACTCCTGCTCGTCGCGCACTGTCTGCTTGAACTTAATTATGTCCTGGCGTGCCTTCTCGCCCTTTGCCTTGGTATCATCAAGCTGCTTCTTCTTGTTCGAGAGCTCCGTCTGCGCAGCGTTCAGATCCGCGTCCGCATCGTCAACGGCCTTCTTTGCCGTGTTTTCCGCCCTGAGCTTTTCGTTGTATTCCGCCTGCGCTGTAAGCGCAAGCGCGTCCGCGTCGCTCGCGGCCTTTCTGACGGCTTGCGCGCGAGTCGCCAAGTAAGACTGCGCATCGGTGGCCGAGAAGGTGGAAATGGCCAACGCCGACAGTAGCACGATGGCCCAAAACGAAACGTTGAACTGACTCATGGCTGCGGTTGATTGAGAAGCCTGATAGGCTGAGAGCCTTGGAGTGTGGAAAGTAAGTATCGCGTTAAATGAGTGACTCGCGGTCGCAGAAGCGCCGACGTCTAGCGCAGGGGACTGATGAAGTGAGATGGGAAGAGTGGGAGGCTTAAAGCTTCAAATGCTGAAGATTGTTGTGATTTTCGTTCTTTTCACTCGGCCATTTTTATGGAGCTTGCTTGTCGGTATGGTTGACTCGGTTGGATTTCTTCCTTTCGCGAGATGGAGACAAGTCACGCACGAGGGTGGCAACTGGGCGCGGCTTGTTCCCACATTCTGCATGTGGGTTTTGCCAGAGGGCAGGGGTACGAGGCAGTGCGAACAAAAGTCGACGCAAGTCGCTCATGCGAATGTTACAGATGCACCGGAATTCTCCTTGAAGAGTTGTGAGCGAAACGATTGCGAAAATATAATGCTCTCGCTGATTGCTATATGTTACACATGCTTTCGAGAAAGAAAGCCTCCGACCGTCACATCTGGGCCCGACTTTGCCAGGAGAAGCGCTCGCTCACCTGCATGGCTGGAACCTATGGATGGCGCAATCAGCCATGCTTGCTTGAAGGAAGTCGAAGGTCGTGACCCGGGCTGACCTATCAACGCTGTACGAAGAGAGAAGTATGGTGTTTGCCCGTGGCGTATGACATGTGGAATATGCGAGTCGCATTCCTCTCCATTAAATGCATACTCGTTTGTAACGTTTGCAAGACAATTGTTGAGGAGTACATGAATGTTGTACAAATAAGTATTTCCCTTGAACATTTTTAGCGAGCGAATCATAGGCCCAACAACCTTCTGAATAGCGATTTCATTGAACAAATAAATATCACAAAATGCCTTTATTTCTCAGGCAGCAAACGTGTCTCGTCAGAGACAGCATGCTCCCAAGGCGGAGAGCCTAGCCAGGCTCCCACAGGCATTTTTTTTGGGCTCAGAGTAAAAAAACGAAACATCAAAAGACAAGTCAGGAAAACGACCGATGGGCATTGAGGGTGTCAGGGAGCGTCGGGAGTATCTGGAGGATGGGAGGTCGGATGGGCGCGGTTCGGGTGGTTTTTAAGCAGAGCAGGCGAGCTAGCCGTTTTAGTTGCTGTTTCCGTTTCCGTTGCCGTTTCCTTTTCCATTACCGTTACCGTTCCCGTTTCCATTACCATTGCCGTTTCCGTTTTTGTTAGCAGCCTCGTAGTCGGCGTTCTCTTTCTCCGCTTTGTCCGCAGCCGCCTTAAATCCATCAGCGCGCGACTTGAGCGAGGTGAACTTGGTTTCGGATTGAGCCCGAGCGGCAGAAGCCTTTGCCAGTGGAATTCGCGCGTCTTTCGCGGCTTTAATTTTCGCCACGACCACGAGGCTCTGCTGCTTGATCGCCGTGTCGATGTTCTTAGCTTCGATAATGGTCGCGTTCATCGCGAAATTCCGAGTTTGCACAAAATGTACACGGTAGCTTTTCCTGTGGGAAATCTTCGGAAAAGCTTCGGAAAAAGATCGGCGCGCACAATTGCACCTGAGTGGCCGAAGTGACATTGCAGCAACTGTCAGAACATATCTATAGCTTATACTGCTGTGTAGGCTGTAGTGGGGTATCCCATAGGGGGTACAACCCAGTTAGGGTTTCATATTTGTACTGCTTTCATTCATAGTTCATCTCATTCCTGCTTACTCATTTGCACATGGTATAGAGCTAGGTCCCTCCAGGACCGAATTTTTTTTTGGGCCCACCGAAGCGCGCCCCCCGAGGCGCGATTTTTTTTAGCGACCCCTCGAGTCGCCCTCTCCCCTGCGGCCTCGCCGCCCACTCTGTCGCGGCCCCGCCCTGCTCCTTACGCGGCCCCGCGTCGCCTCCTACGCGGCCCTTACGCGGCCCCGCGCCGGCCCCTTACGCGGCCCTTACGCGGTCCTTACGCGGCCACGTCGCCGGCTCCTTACGCGGCCCCGCGCCGGCCCCTTACGCGGCCCTTACGCGGCCCTTACGCGGCCACGCCGCCAGCTCCTACGCGGCCCCGCGCCGGCTCCTTACGCGGCCCGTCCCCGGCCCCTACGCGGCTCCGCGCCGGCTCCTACGCGGCTCTTACGCGGCCCCGCGCCGCCCCCCCCCCTTACGCGGCCCTGACGCGGCCACGCCGCCGGCTCCTACGCGGCCCTGCGCCGGCTCTCACGCGGCCCCGCAGCTGGCTCCTACTCGGCCCCGTAGCCGGCCCCTTAAGCGGCCCCACCGCCGGCCTCCTACTCGGCCCTGCCCCGGCTCCTATCACGGCCCCGCCCCGGCTCCTTCGCGGCCCTGCCCCGGCTCCTACGCGGCCCTACCGCCGGCCCTGACGCGGCCCCGCCCCGTCTCACTTCTACGTGACCCGAGCCGCCTGTCGCCGAGCAGCCCAGGACCCGAGCCGCCCTGCAGCCGAGCCGCCCGGGAGCCGAGCCGCCCTGCACCCGAGCCGCCCTGCAGCCGAGCCGCCCGGGAGCCGAGCCGCCCTGCACCCGAGCCGCCCTGCCGTCGAGCCGCCCGGGAGCCGATCCGCTGTACACCCGAGCCGCCCGGTCGCCGTTCTGCTTTTCTGTCGAGCTGCGCGACCTGCCCTGCCTGGTGAGCACAGTCCCACTGTCACTGCGTGCTCTCCCCCCTACTGCTTGCACTGCTTCACAGTCGTCGTCATGGCTACCCCTAGTGTCCTAGCTTTTGACGCTGAGGGTCGCGCCATTGATTTTGAGGTCTGGCTAGACGACCTGCAGCTGTTCTTTCAGTGCGACAGGGCTGATGACCTTTCTCTCTTTGACCTCACCTCTGGCGCCTCTCCTGCTCCTGCTGCTGATGCTGATCCCACTGTCCGCTCTAAGTGGGCCACCCGCGATGCTGCTGCACGTCTTGCTGTGCGTCGCCACCTCCCTACCTCTGAGCGTGCGCACTTTAGTCAGTACAAGAGTGCTCAGACCTTGTACGACGCTGTAGTTGCGCGCTACTCCTCCCCTGCCACTGCTGCACTGAGCCGTCTCATGCTTCCCTACCTCTTTCCTGACCTCTCTGCCTTTCCCACTGTCGCTGACCTCATTACGCACCTCCGCACTAGTGACACTCGCTACCGCGCCGCCCTTCCTGCTGAATTCTGCGCTAGGAACCCCCCTCCCATGTACATCGCTCTCTACTACGTAGTCGCGCGCCTCCCTGACTCCCTTCGCGTCGTCAGGGACCACTTTCTCGCAGTCTGTCCCACCACTCTCACCGTCGACCTCCTCGAGAAGGCCCTCCTTGCAGCGGAGAAGAGCATAGTCGCTGTAGGTGCTTCTCGTGGTGACCCTCGCACCCCCATCTTTGAGGGGTGCTCTCCTTCCCCCTTGCTGCCCTCTGTTGCCTCTGCTGCTGCTGCCGACCTGCTTGGTCTTGAGTCGGTCGGCGCGGCGTCTGCCCCTAGTGGGAGACGTCGCTCCAGCAAGGGCAAGGGAGGCAAGGGCGCGGGTGGAGCTGGGGGGGGCGGTGGCGGTGGCGGCGGTGGCGGCGGAGGGAGTGGGGGTGGCGGCGGGACTAGTGGCGGGGGTGGTGGTGGTGGTGGTGGCAGCAGCGGCGGAGACGGTGGTGGTGGTGCCAGCGGTGGTTGTGGAGGCAGCGGCGGAGGTGGAGGCGGCGGAGGTGGAGGCAGTGGAGGCGGCAGTGGCGGAGGCAGTAGTGGTGGAGGAGGTGGAGCTGGTCGGGGTGGTACCCAGCAGCGTAGCGGCGGTGGTGGTGGCCAGCGCTCGCAGCGGCAGCAGCAGCAGCGCTCACGGGACATCCCTTCGCCTCAGCAGCTTCGTGAGTGGTACGCTGGGCGTCAGAGGGGTGGGGGTACTGGTCCCTGCACCTACGTTCTTCGTTCCGGCGACCGCGCGGGTGAGCAGTGTGGGGGTGCCCACGCCACCCAGCGCTGCTTTGGCCGCCTGACGGACGCTTGGCGTCAGCAGTTCCCTGGGGCTAGTGAGATCCCTCGCTGGGATGAGCTTCTCAGGGCTGGTGTAGCGATCTTTGATCTTGATTTTGATGCTATCCTTACTGCTATGTATGTTGTGGATTATAGTGAGGAGAATGAGGGTTACCGGTGTTTCCAGCCCGACCCGGGCATTGGTACTGCTGCGCTAGGTGCTTGTGAGGCTGCTGCTCTAGGTGCCAGTGCGTCTGTGCTCTCAGGTACTGGTGAGACTGCGTTCTCAGGTACTGAGTCGTCCTCGTCCTCCCTCACTTTCACACTTGACTCCGGAGCTTCTCGCTCCTTCTTTCGAGACCGCACTACCCTTTCGCCGCTCGCCAGGCCGGTTGCGGTCTCCCTTGCTGACCCCTCTGGGGGTCCTGTCCTGTCTCACTTCTCCACTGTCCTCCCGTGTCCGGCTGCCCCTTCGGCCACCCTGTCGGGTCTGTACCTTCCCTCGTTCTCTACGAACTTGGTGAGTGGAGCGGACCTGCAGGATGGGGGTGTTCACCAGTTCACTCCTGCGCGTCAGCGAGTGACCCACTGCACGGAGGCTCGCACAGGCCGACACCTGGCCACGTTCTCGCGTCGGCCGGGGTCGAGTCTCTACACCCTGACCGTTGAGTCTCCTCCTGTCCCTGCGTCTGGTCAGGTGGCTGCGTCGGGTCAGGTACTTGCTGCTGCGTCCCGGTCAGGTCCTGAGTCTGCCCCCTGTTCTTGTCGCCTCCTGTCTCACGAGACTCTCCTGTGGCACCACCGTCTTGGCCACCCCTCCTTGCCCCGTCTTCGGAGCATGGCTTCCCGTGTCCTTGTCTCTGGTCTTCCCCAGTCTCTCCCTCCTCTCCCCTCCGGGCCAGGACCTTCCTGTGTCCCCTGTGTCGAGGGTCGCCTCCGGGCTACTCCTCACTCCTCCCACTTCCCCCCGACAGAGGCTCCCCTGCAGACGCTTCACATGGATGTGTGGGGCCCAGCCCCCGTCCGTGGGCAGGGTTACGAGCGATACTTCCTGTTGGTGGTTGACGACTACTCGCGTTACACCAC